CTGTCTGTCTGTCTGTCTGTCTGTCTGTCTGTCTGTCTGTCTGTCTGTCTGTCTGTCTGTCTGTCTGTCTCATTAGAGATTTAGTCTCCTCAATGGGTAATTTTGCAAATAAAGATTTGAATTTCTAGTCAATGTTAAACCGTAGGTACCAAATATAATCACATGTACTGTATAGGGATATTTGTATTGTTAACAGAACACAATTAGTAAGCTGGTCCAGTGCTGGCATGAAAACCCAAATGAGATCATTCATGTAGCTCCGCTCTTCTCCGTCTCTTGCCCTCCATGCGGAGCACCATGACAGCTTCAACTTAATCCTCATTAAGCACTGTAACAGTGCAGGAAGTAGCTGCTGCAGTCACGATTACATGGGCTCACTATTTGGCAGGAAATCACTCATTTCAGCTGCTGCGTCCAAGACACCTAGTACGTCCAGAAACTTTCACGCACAGCAGTCTCTCTGCTCTGCTGAGGGGACAAAGGCATGCAGGAGCAAAAGGGGGGGTATCTTCAACTCAGTTTTGACACTTTTGACACCTCCCACTAGGCGTGTTAACTGGTAGTCATTCATAGTTTAGACCTAAAGGAACACGGTTTTTTTTTTTTTGCTTTTTGTTTTTTTTTATGCAATTACAACAATCCATCTAAATTTAATTATTTGAACTATAATGGCTTCATGTGATAGATTTGAATCAGAAATACTTAAATAAGTTATTTAGAATTTGAATATTTACATAAATGTTTACTTATTGAAATAGATTTGTTTATTTAATTAGGTACAAGAGTTGAGTGTCCAGTAATGTTGCTCCAATGACATTTTTTGGCCCCGATACCTGGCTGTGCAGTATCGACCGATACCATCTGTTTGAAATTGATGTGTGTGTGTGTATATATGAAGAACTGCATACTACTTGGATGTAAATTAATTGCCTTCATGGCTTTGTTAAGCTGCTGCCTACTTTTGTGAAGCAGGAAAAAGACTAATACAAAGTGACTCCAAGAGAACTTTTTATTTCCTACCACGAATGGGTGACAATAGCTGAATAAACTTTTGGCTCTCAAAATGGTATCGGTGCCCCATTGGTCGATACTCGCCGATACTGATACCACCCTTTTAGGCAAGGCAAGGCAAATTTATTTGTATAACACAATTCAGTACAAAGACAATGCAAAGTACTTTACATGAATAAAATATAGGAAAATAAAACAGTATAAAATAAATAATAAAATAAATATATAGTTCTGGTTCTAGGAGCCAGAAGACCTGAGTGGTCTGGAGGGTTGATACACTGATAGCAAGTCGATGATGTATTTAGGTGCTAAGCCATTCAGGGATTTATAGACTAACAGAGGTATTCTAAAGTCTATTCTCTGAGATACAGGGAGCCAGTGTAAGGAATTTAGAACTGCGGTGATGTGCTCTACTTTCTTAGTCTTTGTGAGGACACGGGCAGCAGCGTTCTGGATCAGCTGCAGCTGTCTGATCCACTTTTTAGGCAGACCTGTGAAAACAGTCGCAGTAATCAATTCGACTTCAAATAAATGCATGGATTTAGTGCTGTATCGGGGGCCTGCCCGATATTGGTATTGGTATTGGTGCAACACTACTAACCAGTAGCAAGTAGTGA